TTGAAGTTTTATGTTTTTAGACGTATTAATGTCTATCATATAACCTCTAAAAATACCAGGCGTGGCAAATAGTGTGACGTAGAGTGCGGGCAACCAACCCGTAGTGGACTACAAAAATACAATGGATGTAGCAGTCCTGTTAGATTCTACTGTCCTTGGTTATATCAAATTAATCTCAGCATTATTTTATTTTTTGTTATCAAACTAACAATTTGTTAGTTGTAAAATGTCAAGAGATAAGAAAGTTGCAGATTTTTTCCCTTAACTTTAGAGGGCTATAACTTGGAGGAGAAGGGGTTTTGACCAAAAAGTTATATGAAAGACCCCCTTTAATTTTCGCTGAAAAATCACCCCTTAAAATTTTTGGCATAAATTTAGATACACTCTGTATATTGTAAACATAGTAAACAATAAAGCGCTTATAATTATTTGTAAAATTAGAAAATGAAAAGTAAATATTACACTTCTATCAGATTCTGAGTCAAACGAATTTTCGAGGTTACATTCTTTAGAATAATCTTCTTCGGCACTGTCATCTGAATTGGCAGTCATATCTTAATCATCTTTACTACATTACATTACATTACATTACATAGAATACATATCGGGTAAGCGGACCAACCAACCTTGCACCGCGACCCTAAGGATCTATTGTACCCCGATAGATATCGTTATCAATAGAACTTTTTTTAGAAGATATAGAACTTTTATGCTACTACGGGCAAGTCCTAAAATATTCCCGGGTTTAACAGTGGCGATGTTAATAAACACCTTAGCATGTCTCATTCCAGGAGAACTGGTCCACAGTAGGCGAAGTCTCTCNCGTTAAAATAGTTTTAAGAACATTAATTCTTATAATATCAAATTTGTTGTGTAACTTATGATATAAATTATTACAAAATGAATTTTGATGATTATAATAATAATAAACCATCTATTGATATTCAATTACAAAATCAAATTAACATAATCAAAGAAATAAACTTAATTTTCATGAAGTAAACGCACTTAAAAACATTCAAAAAATAAAAAAAAAATTTTATTACAATTTTTACATAGACTTGAATAATTTTGTGGGACCTCCTGGGCATTTTCAACATCTATGTCGTTTAATTATCGATTTTCTTGAGATCAGTCTTGTGAGATCCAAGCTTCATCTCCGCCTTTTTGCAATGCCAATCAATTCTTTTCTTAGCTGCTTGAGAAATTCTCGTATTTTGCAACATCTTTTCTTAGTTTTCCAGTGAACATTATTCATTTTGTATAAAGGTTACTGTATTCAATAAATTCAAACCACTTTGAGCAAAATATAATTTTTTCTTTGTTATGTTTAAGTTTGTATGCTTGTATAGACTAAACCGTTTGAAGAACGTTGTGCGTTTGAAAAACAAATAAATATTTTATATAAAAGTTGTTTGACTCACTTTCTATTACGTAAAATTATTTTCACTTATACATGGTGTTCCATTTAAGCGTAACGGAGAGTACGTCAATTTATTTAAATTTAACACCCTGTTTATTTTATCATATTATGAATACAACTACATTTGTTTATATAACCTAGTTCCTAAGATATTGAATTGTTCTTCCAAAATGTGCCCATTACAGGATCTTTTTAAAAACGATGAAAAAACGACATTTTTTCCGACTTTGCCTTGAAACTACGCCAGACAATAGTCAAAGTCAGTAGGTACATAATAGTATTGAAAGATATTAGATACACTATACAGGTGTTTATAAAGCTTAGCTACTTTTGATGTTCTTCAAACCGCTTTTTCTTAAGTTTTTTAAATAGAACACCCTGTATATTGTGTGCTAGTTGAATTGCTCATCAAGTTCCCTTTAATTTATGATAAGTATGTCATATATCTAACTTTAATAGTTTTCCTGATATTTAGAATTTAAAGAAAAATGTGTCATAAAATGTGATTATTGTTCTTAAAAAAGTGACAGAATGTTGGACTTGAATGAAGTGACTTTTTTGTTTGTCTGTCATTTGTAAATCAGTAATATTTTTTTTAAATACAATTCAAGAGAAAACTGTAATAATTAAATAATTAAACCGTGATAAAAATACAAAACATATAATTAAATGGCAGAACAATAAATCCCTTTTTTAATTACTAATTTATTTGAAGGAAATGCAGTAACAAATTATAAACAATCACTAAACGTTGTTCAACAAGTAGGTATTAATTTAATTAATATTTAGATGTTGTTCAAAATGACGCCAATTTTCTCTTCTACAAGCATTAATGCACTGTATAAAAGATTTTGAGGTATCTCTTAACATGTGCATCTTATTTTCTCTAAAGTCGTAAATTATATGACAGAACAATAATTGCATATTTCATTACTTACATGTTTTTAAATCTCATAAAGTCGCATTAAAATCTGGTATGTCAGTAAAATTATTTTACATTTTAAATATTAATCAAATAATAAAAGGAAGAACAAAAAAAACTGATAAACATAGACAGAATATAATATTAAATACAATAACGCATATTTTATTACACATTATTCTTTAAATTCTAAATATCAGGAAAACCACTAAAGTTAGATATATGACATACTTATCATTAATTAAAGATAACTTGATGGGCAATTCAACCAGCCCACAATATACAGGCTGTTCCATTTATAAAACTATAAAACTATATAAAACTTTATGAAAAAGCCATTTGAAAAACATCAAAAGTAACTAAGTTTGACTATTATTTGACATAGTTTCAAAGTAAAATTTGAAAAAATGTCGTTTTTTAAAAGATCCTGTAATGGACATATTTTGGAAAAAGAACTGGATATCCTAAGAACTATGAACGCTATGAGTTAGTAACATATGTGGCTGTATAAACAAATTTAATTCTACTCATAATATGATAAAATATACAGGGGGAGCAGAAGAGCAGTAAAATACGAGGAAAGGATAGAGAGAAGGCCGCATTGTAGGCTCCTGGGAGGATGCTGGAGAGAAATCAAGGAGAGGAGGTTGATATATTTGCATGGAGATATGAAGGACATTATAGGAGAGGTGAAATCTAAAGAAAACTAAGGGACAGGGTCAGGGACATACAGAGGCAGGAGAGAAGGTCACAGATACGGGAAGGAAGATATAATGTATGGTATGGGGAGATAGTGACAGAGGTACTGCCAAAGTATCTGTTGATGAAAGAGGACAAGGAAGAGAAAAAATTGTTGGTCAGATTCCGCTGTGGCAATAAAGAGAGAGGTATTGGGTGGACAATGTGGTGAACTGGTCTAGGCTGTGTGGAGAGAATTGGGAGACGCTGGAACACACCCTGAGAGGGTGTAGAGAGCTGAGGGAGGAGGCGATGGACTGGAGGTAGATTTTGCTTTGGCCATGATTACCGAAATAGTTGGGTCTCGGATCCATCTACTGTAAGTATTTCTATCTCTAGCCATTAACTAAAGACCAGCAACAACCAAATACATTTCTAATGTGCGTTGCTAAAACGATTTCAAAAACATTGCTGCTAATATGTGATTGATAAACTGTTTCAAATTTGGCGTTGCTTTATTATTTGCTTACCTCAAGTGTATTTTTTTTTGTGGACAGACAGCATTATGTTCTTCTGTCAACATTGGAACATTGTTTTGGTATTCCAACAGGTATTCCTGTTACTATTCCATTGCGAATTTTCTTCACGATTTTTTAGGTCCATGTCGTCTAACAGATCAGTTTCTTTTCCTGTTAAGATTTTAATGTTCTATATTTCTATTCTTATCTGTTATATCACCAATAATCTTCTGCTCAACAATTTTCCTCTGAGTCGCTCGTTATTTTTGCTAAATCAATTATCTCGGGATAGCATGTTGGGGTTATAACCCTTAGAAAGTACTATTTTGGAAAAAGTCAATTTTTTCAGTATAATATAAAGAAATTTTAATATAAAAAAACTAAAATAAGCTGGGATCTCTAGTAATATTGTAAGAATTAAAAGAAGTTTTTTTTATTAATTAATTTAAACTGACATGTACCGTCTGGGTTTTTACAAAAGGGTAAGCACTACCTGAAATGAAATTAAAAAGCTAATCCAGTCAATGGCATAAAGGCATTAATAACGGTGGTAGACGTACCACCCATATTCTATAGGTGTGGGTTGGGGTGAGAATTCGGGAGCGAGCATATCAATGTATGCTGCATCAGCTGTTTTTGATTAATCAAACTGCCCCACGGCTCCATCGTCGACGTTTCAGTGGCGCCGGCGAGCATTAAATTTTCCGACTTCACCGCAGGGGTGCCCCAATCGATGTGAGAGCATCGAAAATAATTAGCTCGATTGGGACGTTGTTGTATCACGAGTCCGTAAATCGTGGTTTTATGACTTCTTGGGAGATTAATTGTTTCGAACCAATTTGTCCTTAAATTATGTTTTGTACCTTTTCCCAACTTCACCTCTTAACGAAGCACTTAACGAAGTGCTAAGGTCGCGAGTAAGGTGCAAGGGGAGAGATAAATGGAAGTTTCTTCGCATAATTTTTCTTGCAGCTCTCGGGATGTTTGCTTGTCATCTGAAATTAAATTCATCAGTCGCCAGTTGTTTAACTTGAACGAGGAGAACTGAACTGGGAATGGGGAAAAAATCGGGCCCCCCTGGTTTTAATTTGGGCCCCAGCGCGTGCTAAATTTATGTCCCTCTTATATATCTTTCCCGGTGGATTTATTGCTGGTTTAGCGTTGCATACATTACAATCTCATTATTCGCGGGGGGCAATTTGCGTTCGGGAAGAACGGAATTGGAGAAATTTATTGCGCGGTCGTCGCGAAATATAAAATCTTCAAGCAACTCCATAATGCATAAACTGATGGTTTATACACCAACCCAAAAACACACCTTAACGCACCCGTATAAACCCTTATTATTCACCCTTCCATTAACGTAATATTGTATTAACAAGAACAACTGACAACACTCCCAGATTATAATTGTTAAGCAATCCTAAGATAAACCACCCCCTGTTATGAATTAAACATCTTTTAAAAATATTCTTTGTATTTTGCAATATGAAATGTTAAAGTAAATAATAATAAACATTTTTTAATATAAAAAATTAAGTTTGTTCGATATTTCTTTTACGAAAAATCGATGGGATTCCAGTTAAACTCCTAAAAAATAATTCCGACACTAATTGTACGTCGTGTTCGGCGGGTAACACTTCGAATTCACGAATAATTTTGACAAGAATTAATTTCATCGCGGCGTAAGCAATCGGTTTTCCTGGGCACAATTTCGGCCCGTAACCAAATCCAAAAAATGATTTTTGAGATTTCGCTGTAACGTTCTCTTTCAGGAATCTTTCGGGTTTAAAAGTAAGAGGATCGTCGTAATTTTTCTCCGACGTCATGATCCCCACTAAATGAAACATTACTCGTATTCCCTTAGGAATTTTTGTACCATCTAAAAAAATGCAATTAATTATAATTATCTTTGTATTTATAAAATTTATCTTACCTATAAGCATATCACGCAAGATTAATCGATCTAAAAACGGCATCGACATGAATCTTCTGAGTGATTCTTTAGCGGTTGCATGCAAATAGGGCATGTTGTTTAAATGCTCAATATCAATTTCTGCATTTATATCAGTCCCCATTACATTTTTAATCTCTTCATAAATTTTATTTTGAATTTCTGGGTTATGTGCCAATTCTCGTAAAGCCATACTTAAAGGAACAATACTAGTATCATGACCCTTAACAACAAAAATAATTAAATTATTAAGTAACTTAAAAAACTAAATCTATTTAGTTACTCCTTGTATTATAGTATTTATATTATCCACTATTCTATTATCGGGGATCCCCCCTTCCATCATAGCATAAACCAAATTGGTTGGATCTCGTTCCTTTACATCTAATTTATTAAATTTCTCCAACCAATCAGTTCCAAATGCAACAACTTCTGAGTGTCGCTTCCAAATTTTTCTGTAATTATTCGTGAACCAATGTAAAACTCCCATACAACTAAACGAATTCATTTTTTGCAATAAAAGTACGAAGAAATCGTTTCGACTCGTGATATAATCTTTTTTTTCACGTTGAGTTATATTAATACCTTTATGCTGGATCGTTTCTAATAAAATGAAAAATGTTATACATGTATTAAAAAAATATTTTAATCACCTAATATCACTTCTAAAAGAATTGTATGCAAATATTTTTCTACATCAACCGGTTTTCCAAGGTTTGATCTAATCGCGTTAATGAGGTCGTCGTATTTTTGATTATAAATATCTAATTTGCTGTTAATGTAAGATTTTGTAATGGCTTTGACCATCACGGCTTTATCATTTTTCCATGTATGATCTAATAATAATTAAAAACTGATTTTATTAATTAAATCTCAATAATAAAGTCTTACAATCAACAGTGCTCGCAATGCCATCACCCATAAAAGTCATTTCATGAAGAACTGGTGATATATGATGATCGTTAGCTTTAAAAATTTTGTTACAATATTCCATGTCATTTGTAATAATCATCGGTTTAAAGGGCTTCATCCATACTTTTACCACAGGCCCATAAATCGAATTTAGCGATTGAAAATAATCAATAATCCCTAAAATAATTTTTATAAATACTCAAAAGTCGATTACATATTTATTATTTTACCTTTTGAGGAACTGTTGAAATACAAATCTTTTATAAGTTTTAACGTAGATGGCCCAGGTAATTTATCGATATCTACAAATTGTTTCATATAATTTCGATAAGAATATATAATAAAAATCACGACTCCTAAACATAGCAAGATGGTAATCATGTTGTCGATTCTTCGGGAGAACAAGAAATGGGCTAACGTTGACGATTCTTAAACTTATTAATATTGTCGTATCGTTAACCTTTGTATCGGCATTGATAACTTTATTACTGTACTACGTAATGGAATGTTAATTAGATGTGATTATGTAGAGATATAGTATAAACAACGATTTAATCATGTAAAACTTTTAGCTGTTGTGCTGTAAAATATAGTACAGATGTGGAATTCAACGCGAAAGCGAATTCGAATTCACATTAGAATTGGAATCCTTATAGCACAGGAAATGCGATAAAAATTTTACGATATTTGGGAATAATTGGAGATTTTTAAAATGTAGTATTTATTCTGTGTAGTTTTGTCCTAAAACATTGTATATGCATATCGGTTTGGCTATCGAATGAATCGTTTCCAGTTCGAGCTTCATATTCCTACGTGAATATCATCTAGTCTTAGCTTAGTAAACTTCTAATTGAGTTAGGGAAGTCCCTTATCTCATCTCGTTGGTGAAAGGAGTGGATTTATACTTCATTGTTTGTAACTGTTTTTTTTTCTCAATGGAAACTTGATTGGCTTCTTACGGGGTACCAAATACAACCCAATCAATATTTTATAGATGAGATTATGAATTTGACCGTTTAGACCAGGAAGTGATGGTTTGAAGAAGGAAGCCATCGCAGCTTCCATCTGCGTCCATACCAACTCGTCCTTCTTGTAAAGTTTCCTTTTTATTACAGCGATTGTCGAACATTCAGCATCGCTCAAATGGCTGTCTCTAAATGTATTAACCAATCTCAAGAGGTTAAAGAAAAGTATATAAACCACCTCATCTCTAAGCTACAATTTCACCACATTTCTGACATTGCAAATCAATCAGTTTCCAGTATATTGCAATAATGTGTTGTAATAATGGAGCTATCAGTTAAAGTGGAAAGCTTATTTTGAGGAAGATGACTCCAAAACAAAGTCATGATTGATTTACGCTGATTTATTGGGCTATTTCCAAGTCCGAAGGAAAATCGGGTCACGCAGAATGCTTCTTATTTTATCTAGAATAGCTATAAGGTTTGAGTAGAATAAAAATTAATTCCAGGTTGCGAGAGTCCTGTAGCTCAATGATGAATAGTAATGATAAGAAGAATGTATATACTGTGATAAAAATAACCACTTTATGGTTCATCGAGAAAAACATAACCATAAAATTTTGACAGAGAAATTTTTGTTGGTAGAAATCTTATTTAAAACCGTTCAGTTTGCTTCCAGAGGTATCAATTAAATTAGTTCAGCTCCTAAAGCACATTTTTCATCCATCGTTTGATGTTTTAACGTTATTTTGAAGAAGAAATCGTTGNTTCTACTTGTTGATGTCTTTTTGCATATAAAACATCCATGACTGCCAAGTGAATACCATGGGCATAACATAATTGGTGTTCGAATGGTGCCAGACGTCCTAATTTTTTCATAACAGCAGCTCCATCGGTTGTTGCACTTATGATGTCAGTATAGATGTTTATACCATATTCTATTAACTTATTTTCTAAAATCTGCAAGCAGTTTTCTGCAGGCAATTGCCCATTTATTTTAATTAGACCTATATTAAAATAGGTATTTGCAGTGTGTATATTGACGTTTAAAAATAGCCGATTTTTGATAGATGTCCACTCATCAAATGTCATACTAAATTTATTACCATTTAATTTTAATTTGCTTATTTGTTTGAACATATTTAGTTTTATTATTTTGGTAAACTCCATTACCATATTTTTTATTGTTTTTGAATCTTTTGGTAAGTGTTTGAATCCTTGTGCAATTAATCCTGCTCTAACATCTTCTGATATAGAGAATAGTCTAAAAGGAAGTCCATCACGTGCCGTCATCCTCGCTAGAATTTCTGGTAGTTTTTCTTTTTTGTCACTTTTATAATATGCACTTATTAATTTATTTTGTGTTTCTATTTTATTTCCCTGAATGGTTTCTGGTAATTTTCTTTTAAATAAATTTATATCATGTATTGTCTTTAAGTGTGTGTGTAGACCAGATGTTGAATCTTCTCCGCACTTTATTTTTTTTGAACATTTCTTACATTTAGCACTCTGCTTCTCCTTTTTTTCTATGAGATAGTAAAACCACACGGAGCTTTGATCATGCCCTTTGACATGTTCTTCAAAATTTTCGTTTTCCATAATATTCTAAGAGCGTCCAAAGATAACCGGCATTATTATTAAATATTCATCAAATCATTTAAATCATTCATTTAAACAACATGGAAACTTTTTATATTTCACGTATTTGTGAATTCTAATTTTGTTATCTAGTCGATATACAATTTACTAGGTAAAATTTACGCTTTTAAATGAACGGAATTTACAGCTATCATTGCTTGCCGAAGCTTGTTACCATATATTTGTTAGTAATTAACAATTAAAAACTTACCTGATTAAATTGTCTTCTCTTATGGATTAAAAACACCAAATGGAGTTCTTTTGTCCGACTGCTTCAGTAGTTTATATTATCTACGTACAAGTACGATTGGTCCGGATAGACGCTGACATACATATAGTATCTCTGTTACGCTTAGAGTTTTACTATGCTTCGTTGTCGCTTTAGTTCACTAAAAAATACGAAAATACCGAAAAATACCGGTATTGTGGAATAAATACCGGTATTTAAAATTTTGTCGAAATCGGTCGGGATTCCGGTATCGGTATTACCGGGATTGCGGTATTCCGTACCCTAGCTGTAACATATAGTACAGGTGTGGAATTCAACGCGAAAGCGAATTCGAATTCACATTAGAATTGGAATCCTTATAGCACAGGAAATAAGCAAGAAAATACGATGGAGAACGAGGACGATTTCAAATTTTAATTTTCCTTCAAATTGTTTAACCCCAAGTTGCACTTTATCCTAAAGATTTTACGATATTTGGGAATAATTGGAAACTTTTAAAATGTAGTATTTATTCTGTGTAGTTTTGTCCTAAAACATTGTATATGCATATCGGTTTGGCTATCGAATGAATCGTTTCCAGTTCGAGCTTCATATTCCTACGTGAATATCATCTAGTCTTAGCTTAGTAAACTTCTAATTGAGTTAGGGAAGTCCCTTATCTCATCTCGTTGGTGAAAGGAGTGGATTTATACTTCATTGTTTGTAACTGTTTTTTTTTCTCAATGGAAACTTGATTGGCTTCTTACGGGGTACCAAATACAACCCAATCAATATTTTATAGATGAGATTATGAATTTGACCGTTTAGACCAGGAAGTGATGGTTTGGAGAAAGAAGCCATCGCATCCTTCTTGTCAAGAGTTTCCTTTTTACTACAACGATTACCGAAAATTCAGCATCGCTCAAATGGCTCTCTCTAAATGTATTAACCAATCTCAAGAGGTTAAAGAAAAGTATATAAACCACCTCATCTCTAAGCTACAATTTCACCACATTTCTGACATTGCAAATCAATCAGTTTCCAGTATATTGCAATAATGTGTTGTAATAATGGAGCTATCGGTTAAAGTGGAAAGCTTATTTTGAGGAAGATGACTCCAAAACAAAGTCATGATTGATTTACGCTGATTTATTGGGCTATTTCCAAGTCCGAAGGAAAATCGGGTCACGCAGAATGCTTCTTATTTTATCTAGAATAGCTATAAGGTTTGAGTAGAATAAAAATTAATTCCAGGTTGCGAGAGTCCTGTAGCTCAATGATGAATAGTAATGATAAGAAGAATGTATATACTGTGATAAAAATAACCACTTTATGGTTCATCGAGAAAAACATAACCATAAAATTTTGACAGAGAAATTTTTGTTGGTAGAAATCTTATTTAAAACCGTTCAGTTTGCTTCCAGAGGTATCAATTAAATTAGTTCAGCTCCTAAAGCACATTTTTCATCCATCGTTTGATGTTTTAACGTTATTTTGAAGAAGAAATCGTTGATTTAAAATTGAATTTTTCTAACTTTACTCATTGGTGGAATTTGGCGTGTACTCCAATGTATATCTGAAAACAAGAAAAGACAACGATGAATACGAAGTTTTATTACGATTTATAAAGGAATAAGGGAGAAATCAAGGGAAAAAGAATTTAATTTTGAAGGTTAGTTCCAAAAAAATCCGAGAGATGACGCTAATTTCGATGCAAAAATTTTAAATTTTGAAAAAGGCGCGAACCTAAGAACCAATCAGAAACGAGGAAGAAACAGGAAGGGGGCCGAGTATAAAAGGAAATCGCAAGCAAACAGGAAACAGTCGTCATCTGACAAACGGCGAGTTCACGTCGGTTGGCAGAAAAAAAAATTAAATCTCCGCGAGGCCAACGAGCCAATTTAAAACGTCAAAGTTAAAAATAACCTCAAAATTATAAAATAATTGAACTAACCTTATCCGAGAACTCCTAAAACATCTTCGAAGTCATCCAAGATCCAAATCCGAAGGACAAACAGTCCACTCATCCGTCAGAAGAATCCCGTAGACAATCCCGAATAAATCGAAGGAGAGACCTGAAATTACGAAGAATCCAGTAACCAATCCAGAAAAACTAGTTCGAACTCCGAAACCAAGAGACAATCCATTATCCTGTTATCACATTGAATCCAAACCCTTTTTCTTCGCAGTGAGTCGGTTGATAATTTTTTTTTTTTTTTATTTAACATAACCTATAAAAGAAAAATTAACCAATTAAATTCAAAGACAACTACCAAGAGTCTCCTTTATAATTCATTATCAATACTTACTTGTGGGTAAAGATTTTTCAGTTTTTCTTAACGTTCACTTTCTTTTAACACTATCTTTTCAACGAGTTTGATTTCAATTTAAAACGTTAGCCATTTTTTCAAGGACGGATATAACGAGTTTTCTACCCTGTTCTCTCTCAAAAAGATAAAAAATAAACGTGTTCTCTCAAATCGATTTTTCAGTCGATAATTGTAGTTATCTGTTTTTATTTAAAAGTTTTACCTCTCGTCGATAGAAATTTAATTTAAATTCAAAAGAAATTTATTTTTTTTTGAACTGAACTTACCCGAAACCCTGAGTTTAATTAGAGTCTCTTAGTTAAAACTATTATTATTGTAATTAAATTAAAAGAAACCCTATTTTTTTGAAAAACCGAACATTGTAGTTTTACTTCATTTAATCATAGTCACCACACACACAAGTGGGACACACACAGTAAAACATTACAATACCAACCTGGTAGGGACACCACACTGCTTATTACCCGATAATGTTAATCGTTGACTTATTAGAAGTGGAGTCAAATCAAGACAAAGCTAATGAAGCTTTCAAACATTTATGTTATCTTTAAGCTCTTATACAGAAAAGGTTTTCTTGGCTACTATTTCTGCATGCATTTCTTATTCGCTCTTTCATGTTTTCTGTCGTAGTGGGAAACATCGCGATAAACGTTATCCTTAAGGACGCCCCATAAAAGAAAATCAAGAGGTGTTAAATCAGGTGATGTGGCAGGCCAGGAAATTGGACCTCCTCTTCCAATCCATTGCCCAGCATAACCCCGATCTTATGCTTCACGTGCAATATGTGAAAAATGTGCTGGACACCCATCATTTTGCAGTCACATATTTTGTTTTTCTTCCCTGCTCAAATCTACAAGTAACGTTGGTAAGACGTCATCTAAAAATTTTTTGTACTTCTCCCCATTCAGCATACCATCAATAAAGTATGGACCCATCAATTTATCACCAATTATGCCACACCAAACATTACTTCACGCAACCATCTCGGTTTTTCAACGCTTCAATAGTGCATGTTATGTCTATTGACTTGTTCTTTATTTGTAAAAGTAGACTCATCCGAGAATAGCACGTTACCAAAGAAATTGACGTCCAACCGCATTCGTTCTTGTGCCCATTGACAAAATATTAATGGATTTTCAAAATCACCTCCATAAAGCTGTTGATGCAATGAAATGTGGTATGGGTTACGCTTTAATATTCTTAAAATGCTGGTCTTCGATATTCCGGCGTCAATTGCAAGTCGTCGAGTGCTAACTTGAGGATTTACCTCAACGCTAGCTAATACCGCAATTTCCGTTTCTTCCGTAGTTACAGTTGCTCGCCGAGTTCTTTTTCTTGATTCAACATTTCCAGTATTAGTGAAATCATTCACAACTCTGTAAAAGGTACTTCTCGAAGGCGATCAGCATCAGCAACTTTTCTGCCACTTTCTCCATAAATAAAAATCATTTCGACTTTTTCTGCCACACTTATGCCCGGTTGCACCGTTTACATAGTTGAGCATAACTTAGTTAAGCAGTTCTTATAGTTAAGAAGAACTTAAATTATATGTCTATTGCACCGACACAACATATACAATGCTCAACTAAGTAACGTTTAAGTATCGGTTATTTGGCAACAACGCCATAAAATTTAGTTATTTTTATAAATTTTAGTAATTTTTTAGGGTTTTTCGTGTTGTCAAGTTAATGTCAGTTGACATTTGACATATACCATGTAAATAACATTTCTACTATTCGTATCATTCCCAACTTCGCGAATATTCGAAGAGTGTTGAGTTATATTGTGAGTTATAAGGACGTTTATAAAAAATGTCGCAAGAGGTGAACCTTTTAAAGATAAATTAATATTTAGAAATTTCATTTACATAAACATATTTTAGAGAAAGATAAAACGCACCTCAAATTTACAAATTACACTCTGCTCAATTACACTCTGCCAATGGAGTTAGAAAATACTCTCGCAGAGGATATCCGCTGTCGCCTAAAAGAACCTTATCATTAATCATTTGTAATCAAATAGTAATATGTACTATTTTACGTTAAGTATCAGTAACATCATACCTAATAATATGCCATTTTGGAAATCTCCGTTTTCTAACCGTGCTCTAATCCGACTATTATTAAATATAGTTGAATCGTGAACAGATCCTGGCCACCTTGCCACAATATCCATGGCTTCCAAATTTGCATTTACAATAACTTGTACATTAAAAGAAAAGTAGCCTTTTCGGTTCCTGTACACTTCTGCATCTTCGCCACCAGGAGACTGAATTTTTATGTGCGTGCAATCAATGGCACCTATAATCCTGGGAAATGCAGCTATTCCATAAAACTGGTTTTGTACTGCTAGAATTTCTTCGGTATTACTTGGCATTTTTATGTATTGCGGTCTCAGCATAGCAATTGCACGCGATACCCGCGATATAATTCTACTAGCTGTTGAAGTATGCATCCCGGTAAAATCAGCTACAATAGTTAAATGGCTAGCAGAAGCGTAAAATCTAAGGGTTGTTAGCAACTGGTTCATTGGAGACACACAGTTGTTTCTGTACAAAACAAGTAGTATTAAAATAATCTAAATTCAGCCTATAAAAGTATAATTTAAAATAATGTATACTACTTACTTATTAGACGGAAATTCTATAATTTCTTGTATTTGTCGTAGAACATACAAACAACTTTGTTTTGTTAGACGAAATCTTTTAAAAAAATTATATTCGTCCATTTCGTGGAAATAATTGGATCTTGTGTATATTAATTTTGGAAAACCAAAATCAATTATTTCCAAAACATCTAAATCGTCGTCGAAAATTTGCAGATCCATTATTTTATTTTATTACTTTTTTAACGTATAGGTTATGTGCGGTTATGTCTATTTGACGTATGCGCTTGAGAACAACTTAAGCACTGGATTTCAAATACTTATATTTGAGAACGTCTTATTGATTTTGAGAACGGGTTACTTGACGGTGCAACGCAAATTCACTACTTAAGCATTACTTAGCCTTTAAGCAATGCTTATGTATTACGGTGCAAACGGGCATTAGTCACTGAAAGTGATATTCTGAAAATGCCCACTTAAGCAGTTTTACGAACTCTTGTTTTTTATGCGTTATTCTATTATCAAATTGACAAAGGCGGAGAAATGTCGGAACCTTTTAGACCCCTTTCCAAAGGTATTTCTGACGAGCCAAGTCACCCAATGTACCTCTTGTGCATTTTTTTGTTGAGCATTCTTAAATAGTATTCTAAGAATTAAGAACTAAAGACAATGTATCGAAGCAGGTAGGAAAATGCTTAAAAATTCATAAATCTTATTTGTTCTTGCTAGATTATAAACGTTAGTTAATTATTTCTGAATCAATGTTCAGGTTCAATGTTTTTCAAAAGATGTTTTGCCGCTGTACTGGCAAAACCACACAGTAAAATTTCTTTATTATTTTTTTTGAATAACTTTCTTTTATCCACAGATTCAGATTTTGCAATAAAATATATAGGGTGCCATTTCAAAAATTGGTCGTGACCTTCATATAACCTTGAAAATTATGTCAAGGTCAAAAAATGTTATGTTATATGGTTTCCCTGTTTGCACAGAACAACTTTCATTTGGTTCATTTTTATGTAAAAAGAACCGTTTTCGAGATAATCACTTGTCTCACGTTAAATGGACGATAATATTATCCATTTAATGTCTTGGAAAATGAACCAAGCACACAATATTTGAATGAGAAATAGTTACATCAACATAAAGCTAATATATACCCGGTTCTAGTGCCTCGCCAGCAAGCGACCTCGGCAAAGTGAGGATAAATTAAGGTGTTGTGCACTTAGTTTACTGTTCAAGACGCCAAATGAACGATATCAACTAATACCGCCGATTTCGCAAAACTCTTGAATTAGAAAGTGGTTATACTCAGTAAGTCGAGGTAGACGTTGACTTAAAATGTGGGAATCTTGTTGATGACACTACGAAGACAAATATAACATAATAAAATATATATTTCTCTAAAAAAATTAAATAATATGAAACTTTAATGTTTTACTAGCTAATTTGTAACTGATAGACAAAGAAAAATGTAAATAAAAATAAAAGTTTTCGTATAATTAAGATGAATACAAATATAAAAGAATACATTACATTTAAAATTAAAAATATTTAAATTACTTGTACATTTCTTTTGCGAAATATTGATGGTATTCCAGTTATACTTTGATAAAATAATCCTGAAATTAACTGTACATCGTGTTCGGCTGGTAACACTTCAAATTCTCTAATAACTTTAACAAGAAACAACTTCATTGCGGCGTACGCGATCAGCTTTCCAGGACATGATTTCGTACCATAACCAAACCCAACAAACGATTTCTGAGCTTGAGCTGTAACGTTCTCTTTCAGGAATCTTTCGGGTTTAAAAGTAAGAGGATTGTCGTAATTTTTCTCTGATGTCATAATCCCCGGTAAATGGAACATTACTCGTATTCCTTTAGGAATCTTGGTATCATCTATAGAAAAACCAAAATTTATATTTTTTTAATTGAATTAAAATTAAACTTACTTATAACCATATCTCGTAATATTAATCTATCTAGAAAAGGTATTGGGAAAAATCTTCTAACAGCTTCTTTAACGGTTGAATGCAGATATGGCATGTTATTTAAATGGTCGATATTAATTTCTGCGTTTATGTTTGTACCGATGACTTTTTTAATTTCCTCATAGATTTTATCTTGAATTTCTGGTCGTTTTGCCATTTCTCGTAAAGCCATACTTAAAGGAACAACACTAGTATCGTGGCCCTAAACAAAAAAAAAGTTAATTTTTGTTTAATTTGAAGGCTATTTTATATACTCCTTGTATTATGGTATTTATATTATCCACTATTCTTGAATCAGGCATTCCTCCGTCTATCATAGCATACACCAAATTTTTTGAATCTCGTTCTTTTATATTTAAGTTATGAAACTTTTTTAATAAATTAGCAACAAATCTAACGATTTCGTTATGTTTTTTCCAAATTTTCCTATAATTATTTGTGAATAAATGTAATACACCGACACAACTAATTGAATTCAGTTTTTCCATTAAAAGTTCGAAAAAATCATTTCTACTCTTGACAAAGTTTTGTAATTCTTGTTTAGTTATTTCTATCCCTTTGTGTTGAATTGTTGCTATAACAAACAGCAAATGTTATTTATCATTATTTTTATTAAAGAAAACTTTTAAATTACCTATTATCACCTCTAAAAGAATATTATGCAAATATTTTTCTACATCAACCGGCATTCCCAGGTTAGATCTAATCGCATTGATGAGCTCGTCATATTTTTTATCGTAAATATTTAATTTACTGTTAATGTAAGATTTGGTTATAGCTTTTTCCAAAATGTTTTTATCTTTTCTCCCAATTTCATCTGAAAAAAAGTTATTTAAAATAAGTATTATTGACTAAAATTTAATGAAGCAAGCTTGCAATCGATATTGGTGGCAATTCCTTCACCCGCAAAAGTAATTTCAATAAGAGTTGGTGAAATATGATGATCATTGGCTTTATAAATGTTATTACAATACTCCATATCGTTTGTAATAATCATTGGTTTAAATGGTTTCATCCACACTTTAACTACGGGTCCATAAATTGCGTTTAATGATTGAAAATAATTAACGATTCCTAAAATAATTTTTGATAGAAAGTACTAAAAATTATTGTGATCTGAAAGTTTACCTGGTGAAGAACGAGTAAAATACAAATCTTTTATAAGTTTTAATGTTGATGGACCAGGTAATTTGTCGATATCTTCGAATTGCTTCACATAGTTTCGGTAAGAATAAATGATGAGGATCACTATCCCTAAAAGTAAAATGATGGTAATCATATTATTGATGCGTCGACAACAAGAACTGGCTTATTGTTGAGAATATTCGACGTTATTATTATTATCGTGTCATTCACTTCTGTATCTACTTTATTTTGAAATGATAACATTTTGACTCCTCTTTTTATAATCCATTAATTAAATGTAAAAATATTGTAGTTATATAAAATAAAATCTACTGTGCTAAGAGTCATATTTAATAACTATTTCAGAAACATAAGTTTCCAACAGCATAGAAATTTTAGTGAAAGTTATGGCTATTTAAGGAAAGATAAAAAAGGGGGAAAATTCAAACGTCTACTGTCAAAGCTTTTGTTGCCTGTGATGGATAAGTTGATCAAAGCCCAACTGTAAAGCGGAATCCTGCACAATTATGTTTTTGGTTCATTTATTTCACAGGAGCGTTTAACGCACCGTGGTTGGCAGCAATACTTAAAAGACATATTTTAGAGACAGATTAATATTAAAGATGAAAAATCTTTAATCAAGATAGGAGAAAGGAGAGCANTTAATGTTGATGGACCAGGTAATTTGTCGATATCTTCGAATTGCTTCACATAGTTTCGGTAAGAATAAATGATGAGGATCACTATCCCTAAAAGTAAAATGATGGTAATCATATTATTGATGCGTCGACAACAAAAACTGGCTTATTATTGAGAATATTCTACGTTATTATTATTATCGTGTCATTCACTTCTGTATCTACTTTATTTTGAAATGATAACATTTTGACTCCTCTTTTTATAATCCATTAATTAAATGTAAAAATATTGTAGTTATATAAAATAAAATCTACTGTGCTAAGAGTCATATTTAATAACTATTTCAGAAACATAAGTTTCCAACAGCATAGAAATTTTAGTGAAAGTTATGGCTATTTAAGGAAAGATAAAAAAGGGGGAAAATTCAAACGTCTACTGTCAAAGCTTTTGTTGCCTGTGATGGATAAGTTGATCAAAGCCCAACTGTAAAGCGGAATCCTGCACAATTATGTTTTTGGTTCATTTATTTCACAGGAGCGTTTAACGCACCGTGGTTGGCAGCAATACTTAAAAGACATATTTTAGAGACAGATTAATATTAAAGATGAAAAATCTTTAATCAAGATAGGAGAAAGGAGAGCACCAAATGTTTCATCGGTTATATACATAGATGTGATTATAGATTACATCACCACCATGATCTAAGTGGAATATGTAAAAGAACAAGGTGATGATTTTTTACTTTAAACGTTGTATATAAGGACCAATTCTTGGAAATGCAGTTTCATTAGGATGCTGCTCTATGGAAATATATCAAATGTTTTATTTAATGTTACCTTAGCAACAGCACTTATCATTGTTCTAGTAATGGCAAAAAAGTTATTTCATGATTAGGACAGAAACAACAACATTAGATGCATGATTGGTATTCACTTCGAAGAAGGAGAGTTGAACACGAGACCACCGGTTGGAGTATTAAAAGGCAGAACTTGAGACAGGTGGTAGTGAAGTTGGAACGAAGCAAACAATGAAACTACAACATTTCTATACAGGTGTTTCACTTAAAACTCCCAGGCCAAGTATCTCTGGAATGGATTGAGATCAATCAGTGGTGGAACGCATATCCGGCAACTATCCGGCTTTGACCGGATATTAAAATCCTATTACTTAGTACTCCACCACTCACAGGAATTAGTATCTCTTTTAGATGTTGGACATTGCAGATAATAATCAAGTTCAATCCCAATAGGATTTATGTCACTTAATACAACTTTATTTATATCAGGTTTGTCATTAGGAACCCAACAACAATCCCAATACGATGTATAAAATATCTTGCTACAGTTTCATCTAGTTTTTGTTCTTTTCGCTTGTAATTCATCATCACATTCATAACTAATAGAACTGTCGCTGTTATCACTTTCGATTATTAATTAAAGTATTCTGTTTTTAATGCAACAAGCCATTTTGAAAAATCGCTTTTAGTTTTTGAGAAATAAATTTTAAAAATGATCCACATTTTTTTCGAATTTTACAATTTTCACCGATTAAGTTTTAAAAATTCGTATAAAAGCAATTTCTTGGAATATAACTACAGGGTGTCTCAGCGAGATCGGTCATTAGACGTTTCTGGGGTTCTGGCGAAAATAAAAATTTGGGAATTCAGACTTAAGTATTATCAATTACGATCTCTTCGACTAAAATATTTTCAGATTTCTAGCACTTCCGGTTATACCGGAAGTCGCCACCTACTTTATTTTTTTAAATGGAACACCCNAAGACAACGATCCGAAGCATACCGCGCGTGTTGTCAAAGAATGGATACTCTATAATGTGCCGAAACAACTCCATTCGCCTCCCCAATCACCCGATCTCAACCCTATTGAGCACATTTGGGACGAAGTAGAACGAAGAGTACGAAAATATAGGGTAACCAACAAGGAATCTTTAAAAGATGCGTTAATTAAAGTTTGGAATGAAATACCAGCCAGTGTTACAGAAAATCTTGTGCTTCCAATGCGAAGAAGGCTACAAGCTGTCCTTGACTTGCAAGGAGGACCAACAAAATATTAATATTTTTGTTTCTGCGTACATTTAACTTCGTAATTTATACGGTAATATCTAGTGTATGTAGACTTTTGTGACCCATTAATTCCAGTTAATTATTTTTTTCTTAATATTTACGTTCTTATATTACAATTTCAATGTTCCAATATTACCCACATTATGGTAATAATAGATACCTTATACAATCACGATAAATAAATTATGTATTTATGATCTGCAGTGCATTTATTTGGTGTATGTAGACTTTTGTGACTAACTGTAGACATATTTTAGAGACAGATTAATGTTAAAGATGAAAAATCTTTAATCAAGATAGGAGAAAGGAGAGCACCAAATGTTTCATCGGTTATATATAGTTCATTTTTTTTCTATAATACCTGTCAAATTGTTGTAAAGTTGGCAAAATTAACAGGGAGTTTTGTTATATGATGTTTTGAAATAAATACATATGTCACACTGACGTTTGAGCTTTCGTTATTCAAAAAGAAAAGGTGCATAGAAAATGTTGTGGGGTGTTTATTCGCCATTTGTTTACCTACAAAAGGTGTTTTGTTCTATTTAATTACTATGTAGCACGTTTTTACAATAAATATGTACTTGATTAAAATCGTATTTATCTAAAAATTTATTAATATTTTAACCTTAACTATTTAGTTACTGAAAATGTTACTAAAAATCATGAAAATAACATAAATTTTATAGGGTCCTAGATAATACCAACAGAAACCCTAAAAAATTTACATTGACAAGTATTATAGAAAAAAAACGAACTATACTAAGATGTTGTTATAGATTAGGAAATCACCACCATGACCTAACAATAAGTGGAATATGTAAAGAACAAGGTGATGATTTTTTTCTTTAGACGTGAAAATTCAGTGGTGGAACGGATATCCGGCAACTATCCGGCTTTGACCGGATAATTCACCACTCACAGGAATTAAGTGTTGGATAATAATCAAGTTCAACCCCAATAGGACTTTTTTCATTTAATACAACTTTATTTATATCAGGTTTGTTATTAGCAACGTTATTGTAACAATCCCAATACGATACATAAAATCTCTTGTTGCAGTTTCGTCTAATTTCCTTCCTTTCGCTTGTAATTCATCACCACATTCATTACTAACTGAACTGTCGCTGTTATCACTTTGATAAATAAATTTTTGAAATAATCGACAATTTTTTCGAATTTTGCAATTTTCGCATATCAACTTTAAAAATTCGTATAAAATCCATTTCTTGTAATATCAGTATGAAAATTTCCCAAAGTGTTAATAAAAGTGTCCTCTTTCCAATGAACCAACCCGTTCTGAAAAATAACTTTTAGTTTTTGAGAAAACAATATTTGAAGTTTTGATAAAATTTTCAATGTTGCGATTTTCATCGATAATTTTCAAAATTCGCTATAAAATTAATTTCTTGAAGGATCCTTGTGGAAATATCACCAATTATTAATTAAAGTATCCTCTTTTTAATGCAAAAAGCCGTTTTGAAAAATCACTTTTAGTTCTTGAGAAATAAATTTTTGAAATAATCGACAATTTTTTCGAATTTTGCAATTTTCGCCGATTAAGTTTTAAAAATTCGTATAAAATCCATTTCTTGGAATATGAGTATGAAAATTTCCCAAAGTGTTAATAAAAGTGTCCTCTTTCCAATGAACCAACCCGTTTTGAAAAATAACTTTTAGTTTTTGAGAAAACAATATTTGAAGTTTTCATAAAATTTTCGATGTTGCAACTTTCATCGATAATTTTCTAAATTCGCTATAAAATTCATTTCTTGAAGGATCTTTGTGGAAATATCACCAATTATTAATTAAAGTATCCTCTTTTTAGAGTTACTTCGTTAGTTAAATCAGTATCAAAAAACTTCGTTTTGTATCTTGGATCCAAATAAGTTGACATATCTAATAATAAAGCTTTCTTATTAATTTATTTTTTATTCAAATATCGCAATAATGTGGCAATGTAAGGTATCACTTCAGAAATTATAACCATAATGGCCGGATAGATATGCCGGATAACCAGATATCCGGCCGAAGGGGATGCCGCATATCCGGTATCCGGCTTTTCGCAAAATCACTATCCGTTCCATCATTAGTTGAGATCAAATCGGTTTGGTAGTGGGAAATAAACATTTGGAAGTTGTTGATTTCAATTGATAGCTTTTGAAAATAAAGCGAAAGGGAAGTAAATTTGTTTTCTGAAATAGATATGAATTGAAAAATAAAACTTTTTGGAACTTATAAAAGATTAGAATGTAGATCCATGTTGCAAGTGGTTTATATAAAGAATATAACGAAAAGACTTCTAAACTTGCTTTATTTAAAATAATTTAATATGCAGTCAGACCGGTTTCGGGGCTCCCCCTGTTCTTTTGATGATCTTCGTTCTACAATTTTAGTCTGCCACTGACAGTGAGTAGTTTTTATAGATTTTTTATATTTTTTAACATGTTTTAATATGTAAAATTTCTCGTTTTTTTGCTAATATTTGTCATATACATTTTTTTTATATATTTTTATAAGTCTAACTTCGATTTTTTCCATATTTGATAATTTCGCTAATAGTTTTAAATTATTGTCTGATAAATTTATTTGGTGTTAATTATATAAGAAATTTTTTAACATTGTTTTCTCCGTTTGTATTTAGTTGTCACTGATGATGGGGCTAGCCCCGAAACCGGTCTGACTGCATATTAAATTAAATTAAATAAAGCAAGTTTAGAAGTCTTTTCGTTATATTCTTTTTATAAAAGATTGTTGGAGGTGACATTATATCAAATATTATTTTTTACAGAAATTCTGATTTCGCCAAATTCATATTCTTCAATACGGTTTGGAATTCAGAGAATGCCATCACTTTCTTTTAATATAGTATTAATTAAATCTAATTATCCTTTTTTATTTTTCTTACTTTGTGGCATAATTACTTATACATTAGAGAAATTTTCTGTAACAATCATTAGAACGCAATGAAAATAATAGTTTATTTTCCCATAAAATAATACAATATTTTTAATATAAAAACATTTAAACAGCTTGAATATTCCTCTTACGAAATGTTGACGGTATTCCACTAACGCTTCTGTAAAATATTTCCGCCACTAATTGCACGTCGTGTTCGGCAGGTAAAACTTCAAATTCTCTAATAATTTTTGTAAGAATCAATTTCATTGCAGCATACGCAATCGGTTTTCCTGGACACGATTTCACTCCGTAACCAAATCCAATAAACGATTTCTGAGCTTGAGCTGTAACGTTCTCTTTCATAAATCTTTCAGGCTTAAAAGTAAGAGGATCGTCGTAATTTTTCTCTGACGTCATAATCCCCGTTAAATGGAACATTACTTGTATTCCTTTCGGAATTTTCGTACCATCTAAAGAAAAACCGGAATTTAACAAAAGAAATTTTAAAGTAGAATGAATTTTACCTATAACCATATCTCTTAATACTAATCTATCTAGAAACGGCAACGACATGAATCTTCTAACAGCTTCTTTAACGGTTGAATGCAAATACGGCATATTGTTTAAATGATCTATATTTATTTCTGCGTTTATGTCTGTACCTATTACTTCTTTAATTTCTTCGTATATTTTATCTTGAATTTCTGGTCGTTTTGCCATTTCTCGTAAAGCCATACTTATGGGGAGGATACTAGTGTCGTGACCCTTAACAAAAAAGAGTTAGATTTAAAAAATTAATTAAATAGTTTTACTTACTCCTTGTATTATGGTATTTATGTTATCAACTATTCGTTTATTAGGGATTTGTGCGTCCATCATAGAAAACACTAAGTTCGTGGGATCTCGTTCTTTTACATCTATTTCTTCGAATTTTTTCAACCAATTAGTCCCAAATGTAACTACTTCTGCATGTCGCTTCCAAATTTGCCTATAATTTTTTGTGAACCAATGTAGTACACCAACACAACTAAACGAATTCATTTTTTCCATTAAAAGTACGAAGAAATCATTTCGACTCTTAATATAATCTTTTAATTCCTGTTGAGTTAGGTTTATTCCTTTATGTTGGATTGTTTCTTTATTAATTAAGAATTTGTTATTATAACTATTAAGAAAATAAAAACATTTTAATTACCTATTAATACTTCTAAAAGAATTTTATGCAGGTACTTTTCCACATCGACCGGTTTACCAAGATTTGATCTAATCGCGTTAATGAGCTCGTTATATTTTTGGTCATAAATGTTTAATTTATTGTTAATGTAAGATTTAGTGATACTTTTCACCATAACGCTTTTATCGTTTTTCCAGTTTTCATCTATAAATATTGTTAAAATTGTTTTACAAAAGCTCAATGATGGGAAAACTTACAATGGGCGTTGCTGGCAATTCCTTCCCCCATAAAAGTAATTTCAAAAAGAGCTGGGGTAATATAATGATCATTAGCTTTATAAATTTTATTACAATATTCCATGTCGTTTGTAATAATCATAGGTTTAAACGGCTTCATCCAAACTTTCACTACAGGTCCATAAATAGAGTTTAACGACTGAAAATAATCAATGATGCCTAAAATAAATTTTGAAAAAAGTACTTAAAAGATTATATTTATTTATTTACCTTTTGATGAACTATTAAAATATAAATCCTTTATAAGTTGTAGAGTTGATGGGCCAGGTAATTTATCGATATCCTCAAATTGCTTCACATAGTTTCGATAATAGTAAATGATGACGACCACTACTCCTAAAAGTAACAGGATAGTAATCATGATGCTGATTTGAGTGAGCAAGAAAGACTGGTGAGTTTTTAAGGACACTCAACGTTCTTAATACTATCGAATGGTTGACCTTTGTACTTCTAACCTTGAAGTGATAAAATTTCAAGTATTTAGCGTTATAAATATTTATTAATATGCTAATTACGGAGTTTCTAAAGCAGTTCTAATAAATTTTGAGGTCTTAACAGACAGATTTTAATTATTTGAAAACTTTATCGCTCTATGTATGTATATTAAATTTGATTTAATGTATATATTGATTTTGGATGAGATGGATGATATGATTACTTGAGCGCAGTGTAAGTACAATACTGAAGCTGTGATGTCTGTTTTTCTTGAAATATTACTTTCGGCGTCACTGATTCTAAATTATTGTCGATACTTTTCGTTTTCTAAGATACTTGCACCTCATTATCCCTCACTAACCTCAAATAGCTCTCAGTAACTTTTGCATTTAGTGCCTCAGTAACATCTCAGTAATTTCTAATTGTTCCAAATGATTCTCAAAGCCTTAAAGAACATGCTATTATTTCTCACTTAATCCCAATTCATTTAAATGAGTCTAAATGATTCCCAATTGCTCCTAATAATTTGCAATGCCTTTCACTAATTAGTAAATCTTAAGAGGTCTTATGAGGTTTAAATATCTCTCACACTAAATGAATTTTTCGGAAGAATTCCTATATCATTGGATTTTTAAAAACTAATTTGCTTCGTCAACGAAAACTTTTGTTGCAACTTGAAAATAAAAATGCTAAGAGAAAATGTTGTTGATGAGAATTGTTGGTAAAGAAGCAATAAAGAAGTATGCACTACCAATTATACCTCACCTATGATGATTATCTATCAACCTATTGGACGACAAATTCCAAACATGTTGAATTTGAGGCATTTTACAATAAAATCGTTATTAACTCAATAATTAAAACCTGTGCATAAGAATGATATCAATAAAAATTGTTCATAATAAATCAGAAAAACATAAAATATAAAAAATTTTATTCCATCTACTTCGTACTTTTAATCAGTGTTAATTCTCAAAATGTGTAAATTAACGTTTATTGATGAAAATATTTATTACAACTTGAAAACTAAACATGCTAGTTGAAAATACTGTTAATGCTCAAGGTTTTTGTGATTATATGTTAAGAAAAGGGGAATCAAATGGTGTTGGTTTAATGGAAATTGTTTTTCTATACATGTAATTCCCATAAGAGAAAGCTGGGAGCTGGGAGCTTAACTCACATAGGTATCTTGGCGAGAGGGTAGATCAAGATAAGAAAAAGCGAATTTAGTTCACTACCTATAAAGATAACGAAGTTATTGGCGACAAAACTAAAAGGAAAAACAAGGGGAACATTTTGTTATTCTTGTCGTACGTTTGTTTTTAACCGATTTTGTTTAAAATTCGAATTTGTGAAATATTAATTCCAAATATGTAGATAAATATGTAAAAATATTTAATATTAGTGTAGAAATAGATTGTAATTATTTATTCATACTAAAGATAAATTAAGTAAATGATTCAGACAAAGATATGAGACTATCACTAAAATCCTTTTAGTTACACGTCAAATAGAATAATTAATCAAATAATGATTACAAATTAATATTCCACGTGATGTTAATGAAAAACAGCGATTACAGTGATCGCCTATGGTTTACGTAATCCGGAACATAGAAGAATAACAGTTTAACTAAACTGTTGATACACCAAATATATATTATGAACAAAATTTTAATTACAGATTTAACTCACGAAACTAAAAGTTTCGAGGAAATGGCACAAACAGTCGTAGTAGTATAATTATTTTAATAGAGGTTTTAAAGGTAACATTTAAATCGTATGTAACAATTATTTAATAATCATTATTCTTCTCCAGATTAATTTTAATTTTCATACAATAATGCATCGGAAAATTGTTGTGCACATACTTAACTGACAAGGTAGCTTTTAACGCAAGACACGTTTCCAAAATGTCAGTAATCAATCTACAGATTACGCTGCAAAATTTAAATTAAACGCTAATGCTTTGCTACGAGACATAAATAATTAAAAACGTTTTATCATTATCAATGAGTCGAATAAACATTTGATAAGTAATTATGAAAACGTAAGGATATATTTTTACGTATAACATTTGCACACCATGGAAATATTCAAATAATGCTATTAAAGACGATTTTTACTCCATTTAACGAATACTTCAAACAACATAAAATTATTGCCAAAAATAAAGTGAATACACCGAATCACAACATTATACTATTTCTCGACATCAATAATCTCTTCAATAAAGAGATTTTCAACTCCTAAAAGAGTTTAGAGTGACGGAGTTTTCAAATCCTTTCTAGAAGCCCAAACTTTACAGTAAAGTGAAATTTCATAAAGTCTGATGTCAACCAGAGCAGAATAGTGTTGTTGGGTTTTCCTCATTTAAAACATTCGTTCCTTTTTATAAATGAAAGGATTTGAGATCCCTTTTGCGACCCTGAAACTACCTGGAACTTTCATATGAAATAAAACTAATAAAAAACGACTATTTCAAAGTAAGTTATTAGCTGAAGTCGACGCGCCCTGGTATAACTGAAAGAACTAATTTCGCAAAGAATTCAAAAAGAAAAAGGTAAATTGTATTTGACGATTATTATGATTTAAATTTAAACGAAGGAGGAAATATTGATGCAATTAAAGATGATGCACCAAAGAAACATATTTGACAATGATGTAGATCACTACTAATCGCACCCACAAGCTTGGAATCGGAAAAGAATCAGAAAGATCTCTTTTTGAGAAAATTTGCACTAAAATTCGATCATACCTTAATAATAACACGCTTTGTGCTTTTTACTAGCTTATTTTTATAAACTTTAATGACACTCTTTAAATTTAAACAATACAGCATAAGAATTGTTATCATCATGTAGAACTAAGAAAATGAAAGCAACCTTCTAAGTACGAAGGCGACAACAATTACAGTGACAATTAAACTTAACTGGTAGCAACAACTCCACTTCAGTACACGGATTAGATGTAATTAGGATTTCCAAACAGAAGATTTTATTTCTAACTCTCACTTTTAATTTGACTCAAATTTTAGGGTGTTTGATTTTAAATAACTTCGGATACTTTTCGCCTATGAACATATCGATCTTTATACACCATTTTATAACAGACATTTCAAGCTTTAATTTGAGATATATGTAATTCATTTCTATATAATCAGAAATAAAGTCTGGATGATTTTTTGAATTTATACAAGTTTTCTTAACTTTTCATTTAACTTAAATATCAGAGTGTTTGATTTTGTACCGTTTCGAATACTTTTTAATTATCAACATGTCGATGTTTATACACCATTTTATAATACACATTTCTAGCTTTAATTTTGATTATTTATCATTTCTATATGATCAAAATTCGAAACAGGGTGATGTTTTGAATATTTAGAAGTTTTGTTAATTTTTAATCTAATTGTAATTTTAGAGTGATTGCTTTTGAATAATTTCGAATACTTTTCGACTATGAATCTATCGATCTTTATACACCATGTTATAACAGACATTTCAAGCTTTAATTTAAGATATAATTCATTTCTATATAATCAGAAATAAAGCCTGGATGATTTTTTGAATTTATACAAGTTTTCTTAACTCTTCATTTAACTTAAATTTTAGAGTGTTTGATTTTGTACCGTTTCGAATACTTTTTGATTATCAACATGTCGATTTTTATACACCATTTTATAATACACATTTCAAGCTTTAATTTTGGTTATTTATCATTTCTATATGATCAAAATTAGAGGCAGGGTGATGTTTCGAATATTTAGAAGTTTTCTTAATTTTTAATCTAATTCAAATTTTAGAGTGTTTACTTTTGAATAATTTCGGATACTTTTCGATTATGAACATATCGATCTTTATACACCAGTTCATAATAGACATTTCAAGCTTAAATTTAAGATATAATTGATTTCTATATAATCAGAAATAAAGCCTGGAAGATTTTTTTAATTTATACAAGTTTTCTTAACTTTACATTTAACTTAAATTTTAGAGTGTTTGATTTTGTACCTTTTCGAATACTTTTTGATTATCAACATGTCGGTGTTTATACACCATTCTATAATACACATTTCAAGCTTTAATTTTGGCTATTTATCTTTTCTATATGATCAAAATTAGAGACAGGGTGATGTTTTGAATATTTAGAAATTTTCTTCATTTTTAATCTAATACAAATTTCAGAGTGTTTGCTTTTGAATAATTTCGGATATTTTTCGACTATAAAAATGTCGATCTTTATACACCATTTCATAATAGATATTTCAAAGTTTAATTTAAGATATAATTCATTCCTATATAATCAGACATAAAGCCTGGATGATTTTTTGAATTTATACCAGTTTTCTTAACTTTTCATTTAACATAAATTTTAGAGTGTTTGATTTTATACCGATTCGAATACTTTTTGATTATCAACATATCGGTGTTTATACACCATTCTATAATACACATTTCAAGCTTTAAATTAGGTTATTGATCATTTATATACCATCAAAAATAGAGTCAGGGTGAAGTTTTGAATTTTTTCAAGTTTTTATGTTTTGTAAGAGTTATCCATGTTGCAAGAATAATGATCAAATAAAAACCATATAAAAACTTCTAACTTGCGTTTATTAATTTAAAGTCGTACTAGTTTCGGGTTACCCCATCATCAGCGACAACTATAAAGAGTACGAAAAATAAGATAACAATCGAAAAATGATAAAATATAATAAAGNGCAATGTGGAAAATAAAAGGAAGGAAAAATAGCTTTTAGATGAACATGATGCGGGGTCGATTGTTGCAGTAACAAACGCAATGGATTACGGTAAAGTATCGTTAAGAAAAAGAGGAGTGCAAGTCGGTATAAGTAAATCCCATGTACAAAGAATTTATCGAGAAAATAAAATATTGCCGTATAAACCAAAATTTAACCACACTATCGAATTAGGTGATGAAGCAAAACGT